ATGGGATCCATGACAACCTTATCAGATGGATCAGGGTGTTCCTAACTGAAATGTTACAACTTATGTTGTAGATGGAGGGTCATCTGAATGGGTTCCAGTCACCTCTGGGGTACCGCAGGGCACAGTTCTCGGCCCACTTCTGTTTATATCCTTCATCAATGACAGGGTAGATGGGATCTCTTCCAAAATCCGACTCTTTGCTGATGATTGTCTTCTATACCGTCCGATCACTGATGTCACTGACAGCCAAGCCCTACAAGAAGATCTCAACAGGCTGCGTTCATGGGCTAACACATGGCAGATAAAATTCAACACCGAGAAATGCTACCACATCACATTCTCCCTACGTCGGAAAGCCATCACCACGACATACACGCTAGGAGACACTCCTCTTGCGTTGGTAACAGATCTCCGGTATCTAGGACTGACCAAGGCCACATGAACAATATCACATCCCGAGCCAATCGGATGCTGGGACTAGTCAGCAGAAATCTCCGCAAAACCTCACAAAAGACCCGCCAACAAGCCTACTTCTCTCTTGTTAGACCTCATCTGGAATACTGTTGCTCGGTCTGGAACCCTCACACAAACAAGCATAATTATATCCCAAATCATACCTTGGAAGTAGGCATAAAGTTATACAAAACTTATTTGCCCCTCGGTGTCTGCTAGTGGGTTACTCTTGAATTTGGCGTTGTGCAGTTACGGATGAACATGGACAGTTGAATAGTTCATCAGGATTAAACTTGTCCTTCTTCAGTGACCCGGGGCGGTATTCTGAACCCTGTGTTATCTCTAATATTGTTGTATCTTTGAAGATAAGATAAAGTTGGTATTCTGAACATTGTTGTAACTTTTGTGTTATCTTTTGTTGTATCTTTTCTCTCATCTTATTGGCCGCGCCTGCGCTCATACTTTGGTGCGCTTGTAATTGTGCGTATTATTAATAAAGTGGCATTTAATTCTCATTTGCATATGCGCACGGGAGATAATATGTCGAGATAATTGGTATTCTGAAAGTTGTTGTATCTTTTATCTTATCTTATCTTGCATGGTATTTACAACAATATTTACAACAGGTAGGGGGTTGTTGTATCTTTCGTGGTGATATAATGGCGGCAATATTTTTTGCCCAGAACCAACTTCGTGCCAATAGACGAGTTAGAAGAAGATTGTGTGTTGACCGGAAACATCACAGATGAGAACTTTCTAAGATATTACATGCTAGGATAGGACTATTTTAATGCTCTCATCTTAACCAATATAGTGAAAGCGTGATTTGTCTTCATGATCCACATTCAACAGCGCATAATGATGACGCGCGTAATAAGTGCTCAAATAACTAATTACGCCCAAGATTAGTATGCGCTAGGCGCATTATCAGATATGGCATAAAGTATTCCTATTGGTTGATCTCCTTATCATGCTTATATAAAATAGATTTTGATTGGTAGGGTGCATAAAAATGGGCGTGTCATCAATGGTCAAAGATAAGATAGAGGCGGTCCTTCAAGAGATAACACAGGGATAAAACAATCTTCAGAATACCAACTTACAACAATATTAGCGCTGTGTTATCTCTGGAAGATACAACAAAAGATAACACAAAACTTACAACAATATTCAGAATACCACCCCAGTACTTGTCAAGATTTGATTTGAAAGAATTGAGTGATGGACTTTCTGCTACATAATGATGGGAGACCATTCCATTCATTTACTACTCTCTGTGAAAAAGAGCTCTGCCTCAATTTAGATTTTACATGTTTCTTTTGTAGTTTAAACTGGTGACCTCTTGTTACTGTGACAGTGGTACGATGAAAGAAATTAGTTGACTGGAGGTCGTCGATTTCATGCATTATCTTATAGACCTGTAGCATGTCACTTCTACGACGTCTGTATGATAATGAAGGCAATTTTAGTTGCTCCAGCCTTAACTTGTACTGAAGACTTCTGAGAGGTTGAAGGAGTTTAGTTGCACGGCGTTGAACTTTTTCCATTTTGAGAATATGTTTCTTCTTATAAGGGTGCCACACGGGAGAGCAGTATTCTAGTGCTGGTCTCACAATTGACTTATATAACTGTGTGAGTCCCTTGTTGTCCATAGTTAGAAAAGTACGCTTGATGATACCCAGTTTCCGGTTTGCAGCATTGCAAGCAGTGTCAATGTGATTAGAAAAGGACATTTTATCATCGAATATTACTCCCAGATCCTTTTCATGATGAACTGCAGGTATTGGCTTGTTAACATCATTCATTGTGTAGTCACACAAGGGATTACTTCTTCCATAGTGGATGACTTTGCATTTCTCAATGTTGAAAGGGAGTTGCCATGTTCTAGACCATACAAGAAGGTTGTTTAGTTCCGATTGAAGAGTCTTTCCGTCGTCGATGTTAGCTATTGAAGAGTACAGCTTGGTATCATCTGCAAAGAGCTTAACTTTACATTCATTAGACTGAATAACGTCTGGCAGGTCATTCACGTAGATTAGGAAAAGGGTGGGCCCTAACATACTCCCCTGCGGTACGCCACTCATAACGTTAGATTCAGTGGATGTAATTCTGTTAACCATCACTTGTTGAGATCTTCCAATTAAAAAGGACTGGATCCAGTTCAACAGATTACCTGAGATACCGTACGACTCAATTTTCTGTAGCAACCTTTGATGTGGGCCAGTGTCAAATGCTTTACTGTAGTCGAGATATATATGGTGGTGTGACCAAAGTTCGCGCGTGACCAAAGTTCGCGTACTAACACTAAAAGCGCTTATAACAGGAGAACGATACGCGATGCCTGTGTGGGACTGAGACAACGAAATCTTTGAGCACCGTCGACAACTCCAAAGGTCAAAATGCGACATAAAAATGTGAATAAGCTAGCTTTTCCACGCTTTTTATCATAACAAATTGTGTTTTTTTTACATGAAAATCAGTTTATTATAGGGATCGACTCCGAAAAATAATGATAAAATTCCAATTTCTTACGCGAAAAACGGAACCTGCGCGCCTGCTTCCACCGTATCTGTGTTTGTGAATTTCAATGAATCTATGGGTTTCGTAAGAATACAAATTTAAAAGGGGAAAGAGGAGAGACAAAGAGAGAAAAGAGCGAGAACTCGTGTATGGCTGACATATAAAATGGAACCACATGATAATTTTTTTAAACAAACAAATGACATGCAGATAGGGACTACATTGACATTAACACATAAACATTGAAAAATATTGTCTTTTATTTGCAAAATTTAATAAGGGTATTTTTATCGGGCAATATTTCAATGATAGAGAGAAATTATTATATTTTTTAAAGTTTCAATATAAAGTTCGGCTTCTGATTGAAACTACGTAACTTTTTGGAATGTTTACATATATAAAGCCCATCACAAGAGGGCAGTAAATATCATGCGCGAACTTAGGTCACACTTTTTGACGGACGTCGGTAGTGGTAAGGCTTCCGATATTCTCGTCTTATCATTGATTTGAAGTAAATAAAGCCTTGAAATGTTATATAATCTGATATATGATAAATTACAAATCTTATGACGTATGGAACATGATATATGTTGATCAGGGCCCCGTCTTACAAAGAGTTACGATTGATCCAAATCAATCGTAAGTCCTCCAATCAATCGTAAGTTTGCAGTCTCCTATCTCTTATGTACATAGTTACGATTGATATCAATCGCAAATAAGTTACGATTGATATCAACTCTTTGTAAGACGGGGCCCTGGATTTTTTGAAATATGCAAGAAAAGAAAAATATCCGCGAACTTTGGTCACCTCTTCATACAATCAACATTTCTTCCACTATCAAGCTCCTTGTACCAAGCTTCAGATACATCGAGTAGTTGTGTGACGCAAGATCTGCCTTTCCTAAAACCATATTGATTATCTGTGAACACTGTTCATGCCTATCCATATGGTCAACTATCTCATCTCTGATGAAAGATTCCATCATCTTGCACAAGGTACTGGTTAAGCTCACAGGACGGTAATTACTTGGTTTCCTCTTATCACCCTTTTTGTATATAGGTGTAACATAGGCTTCCTTCCAACATGCTGGGACTTTACCTTTTGACATCGACAAATTGAACAATTCGGTGAGAGGTTTAGCAATATAATCCCCAAGTTCCTTCAGAATACGGTTATGTACATTGTCAGGTCCAGGGGATTTGGTCTGATTGAGCTTCTTGATTGCTTCTCTGACAGCAGATTCTGTAAATTCAACGTTGTCCAGGGGTGTAACATTTCTTCTTGGATCACAGCTAGGAATATTGGCTAAATCTTCTCTCGTAAATACAGAGACAAAAAAATTGTTCAAGGTATTAGCTTTTTCAGTGTCTGTCTCTGCATAGCCGCCGTCAGGTTTCTCCAGTGACCCGATTGAAGATTTTGTCTTTGTTTTGCTTTTCACACAAACAAGCATATATCCCAAATCGAGGCAGTACAAAGGCGAGCAGCAAGATTCATCCTCCAGAGATATCGTCGTATTGCCAGTGTCTCGGCCATGATTCAACATCTGAAATGGGAGAGCCTGGAGAGGAGAAGAAATGCTGCAAGCCTCCACCTCATGTACAAGATCTAAAACAACACAGTAGCCATCAATGCACACCATTACACAGCACCCATGATTACCAGCAACACACGACAGTATCACTCAAAGAAGTTGCTGGCTATCCCATCTCGCACCCAACTCTACCAGAACTCATTTTTCCCTCGGACAGTAACTGCGTGGAATGCACTTTCGAAGATCAACCTTGACGCTATTTCACTGGAGGGCTTCAAGGGAGCGCTTCCACCCAGCATCTAGACCAAGAACTAGAAAATTTATTCCTCAGCACTACATCCTGACTTATGGATCCTGCTGAGTATCGTCGTAGAAGTAGAAGTAGAAGTACATCTCATCGAACCACAAATCAAAAGCCAAATGAATTAGAACATCGCGTTGCTATGGTTGCGCGCATGAATAGGCAGCAATTAAAGCATAGCGTATATCACACACGCGCATCCTAATTAAGGGCACGCGTACAGGTTTATCAAAATAATTATTGTCAATAACAATAATAATAATACAAAGCTTCTCTATCAACAAATTATACAAATCTTTTAACTACTAAAACGACTTACTAAAATGACTAACTTATTATACAAATCTTTTAACGACTAAAACGACTTACTGAAATGACTAAACCCGGCGGCAGCCACACGTAGGGCCATACTTCTTTGTTAAACGATGCCTTTAAGACCTCTTGAAAGTATGAATTTTAATTTTCAGTCTAACCCGCCAGCAGAAGTCCGCATACATGGTCAGAAAGTGTTGGGTACCTTTTCGACGGACGCAGATCGCGGATACTGCGACGATGACCGAAACCGACGCTTCTTCCTCGAACCCGATAACGAAGTGGACTTTGACTACACGAAAGGCTTCGAGGAATATGTTGATATGGGGGATGATCCGAACGTCACTTCGTTGACAAATGTCTTGTGTTGGATGCGTAATCACCGGAGCTTGTTGACAGAGAGTGGGATTTTGGATACCAAGGCATCAAGGTGAGACACAAGGTTCAAAGCATTTGAATGTGTACATTGGTGTATACTGTTGGACCCAACTAATAAATTGGGTGGAGGGGTGGGGGTACTGGTGCCGGGGAAGGGGTCTACCGGCTTTTCTATGTGGATGACATGTTTTCCTCATATTTTTGTTCGTTTTCTTTTTCGCCACATCTGCATGGGTATGTGCCAAAACGCGCTCATCAACATGTCCAATGCATGTCTTCACATATTAAGATGATCGCAGTGCCAAAGATCGACTTCGCTTATCATTACTAATCTAAGCATTTATAACAAATATTAGATGCTTTCTCATTATTTGAATTATCGCTTATAATATGTTCCTATGATTTCTCTGCTTTCGTTCTCGCGCACTTTCTATTCCCATCTGCTTGTTTGTTTTTTGTTATTTCATTTTATCAATTGTTATTGATTTAGATCTAGTTACTTATTATCAATTTATTTGACCAGGCTTAACGTGGATTTCGTAGGGCGTCGTGGATTATTAAGGAACCTCTTGGAAGCTGGAGGCGACAAAGACCTTGACATCCAACTTTTGGTAACCCTCTACCGGGGAACCTATTTCATCTCCGGTATCTGGAAGAACGAGGAAAAGCTACCTAGGAATCAACAGATGATAGCAGCTTCTGCAAAACTGTTTCGTCAGTTTATAACCAGCAGTAAGTACAAACAAAAAATGAAACTATTTCTTTTTTTGGGGAAAAAAAAGTCATCATAAAATATATACAAACAACAAACAATTTAATTGTGAACTGCCCAAAACCAATAGGTCTTTTAAAGTTACAATATGATATAGGATGGAACAATTATAGGCATTTAAAAAAAAGACTTAGTAAATAAAATCGATAACATTTTTGCCATATCCCATGTATTTAAATGCTGATAAGATTAGAGTAAAGTACCCGGTAATCGGTCAGCTCCGGTTTTCGGCCAATTGGTTGGATACATGGTAAAATCACTTTAAAATACATCGCATAATAGCATAACACATATCCCACACATACCATACCATGCCAGTGTCACTGAAGAACCACATTTGCAATGAAAAATATATCCTAAAATATCACATTTTAGCGATGTAATCGGCGGTCCCGCTACCCAAATCTGAAAAATCGAGTTTCTTACGCGTGTATGTAAGATATATGGGTACCATAAAATGAGCTTTATTTCAAGTATTTTTCAGATATAGAGCCCGATTTTGTGCTGGTCGCAAGCTCAAAAGTATCTCATCGCATGTATTAAATCAATTCAGCCGCACACCGCGACGCACACACGATATGTCTGTCTAATTCAGATTCCAACTTCCGATCACCGCTGTGCCTGTATTCGGCCAGGCGAGCACCCGGGAGCTCCGGCGTGGGATACCTGCTCCGCCCGCTTGTGCTATACATCAGCGCAGAAACGCACGGCGCGCGCGAGCGCTTCCTATTGACTTTGTACATGCGGCCGTAAACTGAAACGCTCGGCCGATAACCGGCTCCAAAACAGTGAAAATTGAAATGAATATTGTCATGGCAATTCGTGATTTTTTTTTGGGATTCTTTTTTTGTTTAAATAATAATAATATTTGCTTCATGATTTGAACAAGAAATGATAATAAATAGGAAGTAAAGAGTCCAATAAATAGGATTTTGTCTTAAGTGGCCGAAAACCGGGTACTTTACTCTATATCGATGTATATATTGATATCAGAAGTTTTAATTTACGATGACAACGTCATGGTATACGTGAACAAGCATATAACTTGATGAATAACAAATATTTACACCGTAAAAATGTTTGACCATATAATGCCTAAATATGCAGCTGACATACAACCATGCTCGGGGGTTTCGTGTTGTGATCTTGTCCATACAATTCGTTCTGTTTTGAAAAACTAAATGGCCCTACGAAGATTTTTTTATAATCAGTATCCATGGGAAATAATGTTTTTTTTAAATGAATGTTAACATCTTCAATCAGAGGACGGTTACACCCCGGATACCCCTGCTCCCGTGAACGACAATGCATCCTTTTACGCAATGATGAGCGCCAACTGCGGCAGACATCGGCTGCTCTTTAGCTCTGAGGTGCAAGCAGAAAGGATGGATGAGATCACACCCCCTCAACGGAACTACCTCAACATACGCACGATCCCGAACCGCCAGAAAAAAATAAATCCGTAAGATTATTTTTCCCCCTCTCTCTTTGTCCGTATCTGTCTCTGTCTCTCCAATTTTAAATCTAACGAATGTATAACCTCTCCTAACGTTGAGGTAATAAATGTGAATTCACATAGCCGTTATAAGCTGGGCAGATCCAGGGTCCCCACCCAGCCCCCCCCCCCGAAAAAAAGGCCAATGGTTGGGGCTCAAACGGGTGCACATGTCGTTTTCGCCCCCACACTCTTCATATCTGCCACTGGTTTGGCGGGTGAGATGTTAATAAGAGCAGTGAAAATCAATCATTTTCCTTCTCCATCTTGACCGTTATTCGTTAACAAATTATATCCGATATCCCATGATATATTCTACCACCTCCATCACCATTCTTATCATTCCCTTTCACATTATCTTGGTCTGAATCCCTTTACTTCAAAAGCATCTAGATTTTAATTTCAGATATTTGTGCAGTTAATTTGTTATTATTATCATAATTATTGTTCAGTATTTGGTGTCACCTGTGCACGGGAGGAGGCAATTGAACCGATTCGCCGTGACCCTCAAGTGCCCCCTCCTTGTATAACTGATTGGGGATGTGTAGGTGGTCAACCAGGTTTTCCCCTTCTCCTGAACGAATAGCGCATCGAGTTCGTCATTTGCAATGGGTTCACTCTCCAAGACGGGGACTCCATTTTACGCCTTATCTGAGAGATTCCTAGTATTTTCCTACTGTAACCTAGCTTACGTCTATCAGCATGGGAGGGGTACGTTAACATACCGTAAGTGCATTAGTTATCCGCCTGGGTTGGATGCAATCCTGTAGTGTCATGCCTTACACGCACCTTCTTTTATATACTCTTATAGGGTGCACACATACAAATAGTCCATTTACTTTTCACTCGACAGGATGAAGGCCTTAAGGTGGTGGGCCGCCAATACCATTTCCGACATTTCGGAGATAGTCTGTGGAATACGAGATGATAAACGTAGAATCGTCCAAACATTTCAGTACATCGAAACCAATAAACTTCAGACAGAATATGCTCAGGTGAGTATAAACAGGAACGTTATTAAGCTGCCAGATAAAAAAAAACAGATATATAAATGTCAGAGGTCAACATTTTGGAGGGAAGACTGCCAGAGGTTACTTATTGTGTCAGGGGTAAAAATGGCAGTTTTTAAAATGCCAGAGATTAATAAGTCAAAGGTTAGACAAATTTTAAGTTTGTGAGATTATTTAGAGTCTTTTCAAGTTGAACAAGAATTTCTGCAAAACTCTATTTCAGAAATGTTTGATCTGTTTTTATGGTTGGGAGGGGGGGGGGGGTTGATTTGATATAACGTTCGGCTGAATGATCTACAAATTTGTTTCGACGACCCCTCCTCCCCGCCCTGTATCATATTAAAGAGAAAGAGAGATAGAGAAGGGTGGGGAGAGGGGAGTATGAAATAATATATATCGATATCTGTGAGCAATATATCAATATAATTATGAATCTATATGATTTGTTCACTACCATAGAACAAGTGGCGACCAAAGGCTTGCATCAAAACAATGGAATCACTCCTTTCTCAGATCAAAGAACTGGTGCAAGATGACGATGCAAGGTAAGGATTACAACGACCTTTGGAAAAATTACACTTAAGGGTCAAAGGTTAACTTAACTCAAGGAAACAATATGATCTTGATCGGAACAATCAAGATAAAACGATGATAAAAGCAGCAATTATTTTGTCTTGATACCACCAAATATAGTCTTCTATAATTCTTGCCATAGTGTAAATTATATTTGATAGCCTAAATGTTGAATAGGTAGGCCGGAAAATCATTTATGGCGATTATTGTGTTTGTATCAGCCTGTATCAGCGTCTTCCTATAATTTTCACCTGTATTACTCATTACACCCTGTTTAAAATCTACTTTCTTTTCGTTTCTCAATGTCTCTTCCCCACATTCCCTCACTCTTCCATCTCATGGCCTCAGTTCCCAACCGGCAGGTACCTGTTTTCCGAAGGTTTATAATTCTGAAACACAAATTTCCATACACCAGTGGGTTCATAAATAAGAAAATAAAATAGGGGTTAAGATTCCGAACATCTGTTACGCTATTCGGAAGGCTTATAGTTCCAAAAATGAAATAGGGTTCATTACTCCGAAGGTTCGTAATTTAAAACAAAAACAATGCGGGGATCCTATGTCGCTTTCGGAAAAAATTAACCTCCGGAATTATGTACCGTATTTCATCTTCGGTATTATGAATCTTCGGAGTAATGAACCTTTGGAACACGCGTCTTCGGAATTATGAATCTTCAGATACAACAGTATATATATAACCTATCCAACCACCATTAACTTTCTCTAACCTTAGTACCGTCTATCATCTCGTACTCGAGCCAGTTGAAGGAAGTTGGGGGTTGGAACAACGTCTATCAAGCCGTCGCTTCGTCTCTCGGGGCAAACGAACAGACGATTTCACTTTTGTTGAGGAATCACTTCTTCACAACATACTCGGTATCAATTGAACATCAGTAGTCACTGTCTACCCAGGTGTAAATGGTTTCCTGGCAAATGCTGGAGTAATAATATTTGCAGGGCCTTCAGGAAGTGCAGTGTTTCGTTAACCAGGCGTAGCATATTTGATTTTGAATTTGAATTTGAATTATTTATTTCCGGAAAACATGAAATAAAAGTGTATAAAATTATACATGTACAAGAAACATAAAACCGCAACATTGTAAAGGTTTAAAAATAAAATAGTCAAGATCTGTAATTGAGAAAAAGGGTAGGTTTGAATGGACAAATTAAGGGAACTTAAAATCATGCGAACAATTTTTTTGTAATAAATGCTATCTGTTTATGAATAAATTAGCAGAATTGTATCAGGCTATATTACAATGATTTAGAGGTTGGAGTGAAATTGCACTGACTGATTATATTTTTCAAAATGAATTGTGGCAAGAATCATAGTCTACTTTTGAATGCGTACATCTTTAGAAAAAAACTGTTGCAAACAACACAAATGTGTTTATGCCATGCTAGCTTGTTGCCTAGTGTCACCCCTATGAAATGTAATGAAAATCGTGTAATTTTTCAATCAATATGTAATACCAATTTATTGTCAGATGACAGGTTATTTACTCTCTTTAATTCACAACTAAATTACTTAGTGAGTACCTGCCTGGGGTCTTTGTCTGACATGAAAATACAGGTGTCGTCTGCAATCTTAATGCATTTGAGATAATTAGCCATATTATAAAAATCGTTCATATAGATTAGAAATAAAAGACGACCTAAAATAGAACTTTGGGGCACTCCTCATTTACTAGTTTTTAACTGGGATTCTAAATTATTTACAAAAACAAATTGTTTACGATGAAATAAATAATTCTTACACCAGACTTATTTTATTTATTTGATCGTAAACAATTTGTTTTTGTAAATAATTTAGAATCCCAGTTAAAAACACCTCTAATACCTTAATTACTAAGTTTATCTAACAAAATAAAATGATCAAGAGTATCAAAGACTTTGGATATAAATCAAGAAACTAAGCCAACACAATTTCATTTGGTTCAAAACAATTGCTTACCCCTAAGAATGGAATCAAGTACGGCTGAATATGTGGAGTTCCCTGGTTGTAACCCATACAGATGTTCAGAAATGATATTAAAATTTTCCAAAAATATCATAGAGCATAATTATGGTAAAAACATTTCTCAAGTATCTTTCAAAAGACAAGGAGAGCAGATTTGAGCCTATGGTTACTCACATCGTTTTCAGCTCCATATTTGAACATAAGAATTGCTTTTGATACACTGTCGCTCACAAAGGTGGAATATTTTTGTTTTATCCCAATTTATGGAATTATTTTAAAAATTATTTAAAAATAATAGATCTAGATAATAGTATACATTCTCAGATTTTATTGAATAATAATTTGCCAATGTGTGTTTTGCGTGACTGCTAGAACATGTGTATGCTATTATGCTTATCAACTAGGGGACCTATGCCATTAAGTCATAAATGACAGTAATGAGGATTAATGCCCCACAAAAGGGCACTTATATAGCACATCGACACGGTTTTGATCATGGGGCCTCACAGTAACGAGGCCATTGCTTTGTCACTGAACCATGACTGTACGCAGCGGGGGCTAGGGTAGGGGGCAGTTTCCATAAATAAAAAAAAAACAGAAAATGCAATAAATTTTCAATAATTTATTGCATTTTACCCCGGTTCCCAACATAAACAAATCTTTTGTGTGCCCATGGCTTGAGCCATAATGCATGGCCGTCCAGAGGATTTTTTTTTTTGTGGGGCATTGATCCTCATTACTGTCATTTATGACTTGAGGGCGTAGGTCCCCTAATTAATAAGCATAGTAGCATACACATGCCTTAGCAGTCCGGCAAAACACACATTGAAAAATTACTATTCAATAACATCTGAGAATGTATACTAATATCGAGATCTATTATTTTTGAATAATTTTTAAAATAATTCCATGAATTGGGATAAAACTAAAATATTCCACCTTTACGAGCGACAGTGTATTTTCGTTGGCTCAGGAAATGAACCTTTCTCTACAGACATTTTAAACATTTAACAAAGTGGAAACCATATACTATGAATAACCCGCTTTATAACAGATATATGTACATTATAAAAACCGGAACTTTATGGGAAGTATTTTTCAATTGGCAAACGATTTCTCTCATTTTGTTCTAAAATGTCTTGTAACTTACATCACATGCATATTTCACCTTTAGTTGAATCATAATCGATGTTTACAAAATAATCAATCAATTTCTGAGGTTGTACTTTTATTTTGAATCAACTTATTTTCAAGTGATATTTCAGTATAATGTTCTTTTTATTCTCGCACTTCGTATTTCTTGAAATATATTCGATTCTCATTTCAACCATAGCGTTATCACATTTTTGTTTTGAAAATAAATGCTTAACTCTTTTTCAATCATTATTAACCCTTATTAATTTTTCATGTCGATAATCTGTACGATTCTAAAAAAACACTCTGTATACAGCTCAATTTCTGTTGCTGCCCACATTATATGATTTTACATGGTTTGTTCTGTAGTCCCTTTTTAATCCTTATACTTTTAATAGGAGAGCAATCATCTTAACATTCCATGAACTTATGTAAAACAACCCAACTATAAATATGATTGAAGTCTTCATTTATAACCTATGTCATCTTCTTTAGTTTATCAATGAATTTTACTACATTTGCTTCACTAAGGTCACGTTCTTTTTTATAAGAGTATGATTGATTTCTCTTCCTTTATTTCCTACAAATATTAAATATTGGTAAATGGTCACTGATATCTGAAACCAAAACACCTGATAGAATGTATTTAAGTTTATTCATAAAAAATGTTGTCTAAAGGAGAGCTTCTATTCTGTTTAAATATGGGAGAGTGAATTATTGGATACATTTAATATATCGTAAATATATCTAGAGACTAATTAACAGATGTACAATTAAAGGAATTCATCAAATCAATATTCAAATCATCCATTGAAAAAAAATAATATATTTTCCGGTCTACCAGAAGGGCCGAAATAACTGTTTCTATAAATAAAATGCAGAGGTAAGTTGAAAAAAAAGCTTTAAAGCAATGTATTTTTCACCATTATAGTTTCAAAGAAAAATTAGAAAACACATCAAAACCAAAAGTATGATAACTGTTTGCATGGGTGTCGATCCCGGGGGGTGGGGGGGGGGGGGGTGGGGGGATATATCCCCCCAATATTTCAGGTGGGGAGGGGGATGGCCTGTACAATCATACCCCCCCCCCCCCAATAATTCACCATGAACAAAATAAAAAAATGAAGAGAAAATTAATGATGAGAGCCCGATGAGAGTAGTTAATGGTTATTACTCGCAAGATGACCGTCAATATACACATATTGTTATCTCATTTTCATAATACATACATATATACGAGGTAAATGAGACAACCGTATATGAGACAAGAAAAAATTATTCTCGCTCATACGGCTTCATCAGGAATTGATGAATTTATTCAATTTTTTCAATCAACAGCATCATAGAAATGCAGTGCGCCAAATGCAAAGACACAGCGTTAAAAAGCAACGAGCTAAATGTTAAGCGCGAAGGGCAAAAGTTGCAATCTGCAACATCGGACAATCCTGGATAATGTAAACATAGATGAACTCTGTGACAAATTCGTGATGAGATCGGAGACAAGGAGAAAGATTTTCGGACATTAGTATGACTTATAAGATAAGTTCACTAGTTGTTACGTTGTTTCCGTTCACCCTTTTAAAAATTCACGTCATTGTATCTTTATTTTTATTTTTCTTACTCATTATATTTCCTGATATTTCCTAATTTTTTTTCGTTTTTGGAGAACGAATATCATGTCACAACTTATTTTTGTTTATTGAAAAGCTGATGTAGGCCTATGTAACTGGCCGTATTTGATAAATGTGATTTATAAATGTTCGTGATATCACATGATTTTCAACAAAATTCGCGTTTCTCCATTTCTGTTGCAAACTGACACATTCCCAAATAGCCAGGAAGAGCATACAGTTTGTACAGTATAGTCACCAATGGGCCTAATTAGTGGCCGTTAACACTAACAGTAGTATACAATTCCTTTCCAGAAGCTATTGCGACAAGCACTGCCGGGAGATAACATGCTACCCACCATTCGGGCTGTGCATACAACGATTTGCAAACGAACGTTCCATACGTACATCATGTGGGGAAACTGAATTCAGACAAGGATTAATTATATAGAGAACAGTACAATGAATCGTCTTCTTTCTCTAATAATTTAGTGAAACGGTAAAGCTTCCGCGCTTAGCGCTGGATGGGCGAAAATAAATACAGACAAGGATTAAGAGTAATAATTCATTGAAACGTCAAAGCTTCCGCGCTTCGCGCGAGAGGGCAGGGGCGAATCGCACTCAGACAAGGACACGGTACAACGAATCGTCTTCCGTCTCTAATAATTTAATGAAACGGTAAAGCTTCCGCGCTTAGCGCTGGATGGGCGAAAATGAATACAGACAAGGATTAAGAGTAATAATTTATTGAAACGTATATGGGAGGGCGGGGGTGAATTGCACTCAGACAAGGACACGTTACAACGAATCGTCTTCTTTTTCTAATAATTTAATTTAAAGCTTCCGCGTTTCGCGCGGGATGGGGGAAACTGAATTCAGACAAGGATTAAGAGTCGAGAATGGTACATTGAATCGTCTTCTTTCTTTAATAATCTAATGAAACTTCAGAGCTTCCACGCTACGCGCGGAGGAAGGGGAACTTGTTCAAACATTAAGGATTAAGAGTCGAGAATGGTACATCGAATCGCGCTCTTTCTTTAATAATCTAATGAACCGTCAGAGCTTTCGCGCTACGCGCGGAGGAAGGGGAACTTGATTCAAACAAGGATTAAGGGTCGAGAACGGTCCAACGAATCGTCTTCTTTCTCTAATAAGTTAATGAAATGTCAAAGCTTCCGCGTTTCGCGGGGGAGTGGGAAAGCTCCCCCTTCCCTGCGCCCAACCCCCTATAGCTTTGCGTGCTCACTAAAGCCCCCCTAAAATGAAATCCTGGCTACGCCCTTGGGGAGGGGCCGTGCAACCTGCCACACGCTTCTACCTCGTGGTTGCTTTGATCCATTGCCGAAAATATTTTGGCACCTATCATCCCCCCCCCCCCCAACCAACCACGGATACAAATCGACACCCTTGACTGTTTGCCATAATTTCTTGAGATAATATATTTGTTTAATGCAGATGTATCGTTATCTGATATTTGCAATCTTCTGAGCATTAATATTTACAGAAAGGAATAGAGAATAATGTGTATATTTTGCAACAGAATATGAGCAGCTCTATGCTAGATGTGGAATTCCCCGATGCTAAATGTGGAATTCTCCGATGCTAGATGGGGAATACCACGAGCTGATACATGTTGACGTCATCACAGTTGTTAGGAGAAACACACTGAATGAATGGATAATTAGATTACATTCCGCTATATAGCTTTCGGGTTGCACAATGTCATTTGCTATTGTTGTGAGTGACAAAAGAGCGATAAAATTGCAAACTCACTGTACACCTTTCCAAAATATCCTACATAAGGCAATATCTAAACAATATTTTGCCAGAAATACGACAATTGTAGTGCATATACGTACGCAGTTTAGTTCTACTTATCGCGATTACTTTATACGCAGTATATTTACACCCGGGATTTACACGCTAGTGTTTACAAGTGTTTCCGTCGATTTTGACTTCCTTTCACAGCACTGTTTTATTCTGTCTACCTGAAGAGATTGACTTTTTTTAAACAAAATGGCAGAGGTAAGTTAAAAAAAAAAAGTTTTTAAAGCAGTATTTTTTCCTCACTTTTTTAATTTTAATGAAGAATGAGAAAACCAAAGGTAAAGATAGGTCTATGATAACTGTTTCCTATAATTTTTAAACAAAAACAAAATCGTAATACCGGAGGTAGAGCCAGCGAGGCAGAGATATACGGAAAGAGGTATAGGGCCAGAGACAGAACCAAGACAAAGGGAGACAGAGATAGAGAGAGAGAAACAGATAGACAGAGATACAGAAAGAGAGACTGAAATAGAGAGATAGAGAGAGAGAAGGGGGTGGGGCTGTAAAGATATGAGATTACATAGATGACTGATGCAGCCTAATCAGGCGCGTACGCAAGGGGGGGGGGGGTTGAACCCCCTTAAACTTGTTGTATGTGTGTGTTTTGGAGGAACCCCCCCCCCCCAAAAAAAAAAAAAAAAAAAAAAAAAAAAAAAAAAAAATGTGGTATGGGTGACCCCAAAAAGCTGACCTAACCCCCTCCCCAATGGCATGTAGCTGATTAAATAGTTTATACAAGTTTTCTATAAAGAATTGAATTGTGACGTCATATTTGCCAAGTTGTCAAGATTGCTGGTTCCAAACAATTTCGTGCTAAAAAATGTTGTGGTAAATCATACAAGTCCCATGCAAACAATGAATGTACCGCCTCGTGCCAGTTGCTTGAAAAATATCGCGTTGAATTTCATTTATAAGCTCTGTTATTTAGGAACAGTAACATTGACGACCAGCGAATATGACGTCAGCACTTCGGTTCTCCGTTGTGATATTTGAATAAATATTTACATGTACTTATACAGTGGATTCACCAAAGATATTCGATCATACATAATATGCAATCACTTTCAGAGATATTTTTTCCAATCGTTATTATCAGCAAAAGAGATATGATTGGGCCTTATCTATATGTAAAAATGTGCCCCGATGCTAGAAAAAGTGCTCAAATTGACTTCCATCACCAACAAAATGGTCATTTTTATCACCCAAAAATGGCAATTTCCCCAAAAATTAGGCGAAATTTTCTGTCAGAATCAAATGATGGTTGGGTTTTGGCATCGACATTCAGTATAGAAATGTGTGCTGATGTGAGAACAATTAATCTCATTTGAAACATATACTTAATTGGACCACTTTGGTCATTTCGATCGATGGCTAGTGATTTGCTGCGCTGGTTGAAAGAAACAAACTCTGTGTATATATATATATATGGCTCTGGAAATTGGGGGGGGGGGGGTTCCAAAATAGCATACATAAAACATACACACAAAAAAAGGGGGGGGGGTAACCCCTCCCCCCCCCCCCCCCCCCCTGCGTACGCGCCTGATGCCAATGCATGGCTGCTGTTTGATTCTGTATGCAAGAGTTCTGAGTTAATACTAGGGTACCGAAGTGTGGCGTCATACTGGCTAAGTTGCCAAGGTTACCCGTTCCTAACAATTTTGAGCTAAACAATGGTATCATGATCTCACTCGCCCTTTACACTGAATGGGCCCTGCTCCAGCCAGTTGATTGAATAATTTCGCAGTGAACCTCATGTGCAGTCTCTGTTGTTTAGAACCAGTGATCGAACTAGACGATGAGTGAATATGACGTGTACTGCAAAAACCAGAGTGTGAAAATTAACACCAAGGGTGTTCAATTTAACACTTTCTTGGTATCTATATCGGACAACTCCTCTGGTGTTACTTAACACCATTTTCTGGAATTTATTAATTTCAATTCCATTTTTGGTGTTAATATTTGACAACTCCTACTGGTGTAGATTAACACCAATATCTGGAAACATAACAAATTCAATTCCACTTTTGGCGTTTATATTCTTGTTGATCCATTAGAGATTTTTATATGGGTTTTTAATGCTCCCACATTCCATATTCCCTATTATCGACCATTATCGACCAGGGTAGGAGAACCAGTGGTAAACTGATAATTCATAATCGATATTGGCAACTGTCCACCAATAGGTATATTCTAATCTCCATTGCATTAATTCCATCAAACATATCATTTGAAATAAATTCAAGATTAACATTTAAGTGTTACAGGCTGGTACACGAATATATAATAAACATGCATGTTGTTGGTCTGTCTTGGTTAGTAATCATATAATCAATATATATATATATATATATATATATATATATATATGCTAAAACGTTAATGTAATTGTAACAAGATCGGACAAATAATCTATTGGTCAATAACTGCCAAAAGAGAGTACAAATCACAAAATTGATGTGCATTGTCATAATTTGCTTAACAAATCATGATAAATCTATTTTTCTGTGAACACGTGTAAAGTAATCATTAAGCGCGCGTACACCTTAAACGAAATCACGTGATGATACTTTTAACACCGAGCATAAAACTACACCTTGTTACTTAACACCCAGTAATTATTAATGCATGCTTAAATCTGCCCGGTGTTAAAAATAACACCACTGAGACAACACACCTTTATAATCAACACCAATGGTGTCAAAAAAATTCAATACCATACTGGTGTAAGAATTTCTACACCCTGGGTTTTTGCAGTGTGCGCACTATACGGTATTCTATTGTTCAAAATTGAACCATGTTGTAAAACAGGGCTTCCATCCTCGAGCGTTGCCAACAATCAGTGTTTTGACGCTTGGATTCCCCAATTGGACTCAAAGGAATTCCCTTAAAGGGTTCCAGTAAATTTGTCTCAGATTCTGAAACAAAATCATGGATTTAGCTCATGCTGCAATGATAATTTTAAACCTTTAGGTCTGTCGGGAACCCTATGACTTTTACAAGCCGATCGCCTGTCTGAGTATCAAGATATTAATGATTGGAAATCGAAACCAAATTTTGCGTTTTCCTAACGGTTTTCATAACACTACAGTCTTTTGGGGAAAACGATAATGGTAAAACCGGTCACTCAAAGATTTTTTTACTTTTTAGGCACTTCCCGATCATTTTGAAGGGCAATTTTTTTAGGGCTTCAATGTTACACCATATCGAAGACACTGATATCACGTAGGGCCGTACATCTCATATTTAGCATTGTTAAACGATGCCTTTAAGACTTCTTGAAAGTACGAATTTTAATTTTCAGTCTAACCCGCCTGCAGAAGTCCGCATACATGGCCAGAAAGTGTTGGGTACCTTTTCAACGGACGCAGATCGCGGATACTGCAACGATGACCGAAACCGACGTGTCTTCCTCGAACCCGATAACGAAGTGGACTTCGACTATACGAAGGGCTTTGAGGAACATGTTGCTTTTGGGGAAGATCCTCGCGTTACTTCGTTGATGAATGTCTTGAGTTGGATGCGTGATCATCGGAGCTTGCTAATAAAGAGTGGGACTTTGGATACCACTGTATCGCGGTGAGACACATATTCCAAAGATTTGAATCTGAATCTGAATGTGTAGATTGGTGTATCCATTAAAGGTACTATGTCCCATTTGCAGCCAACTTCAAACTCTGTAGAACTTTGCAGGAATTATGAGCATGTCACGTATGTCCTATCTGTGAAATTTAAACGTTAGCAGTGTCCTAATAATCAAATTATGTAAAGAAACCCGTTTTATATATATATATTTTTGTATTGATTTATTTATTATCCATTTTCTAAAAATAAATCAGGCTTAACGTGGATTTTGTCGGGCGTCGTGGGTTATTCAGGAACCTCTTGGAGGCTGGAGGCGACAAAGACCTTGATATCCGACTTTTGGTGACCCTCTACCGGGGAACCTATTTCATCTCCGGTATCTGGAAGAATGACAGAAAGCTAACTAGGGATCAACAGATGGTAGGGGCTTCTGCAAAACTGTTTAGTCAGTTTATAACGAGCAGTAAGCACAATTAAAAAATTAAACTAGTTCTTTTTTGGGGAAAAAAGAAGTAATAATTAAAATTTAAAAAAACAATAAAAATCTCATGGTGAACTGCCAGAAACCAAAAAAAAAAAAAAAAAGTTACAATATGACATATAAAATGGAACAGCAATATGGCATTGGTAATTTCTTTTATGACTTAATAAATAACATCGATAACATCATTGCTTTATCTCATGTATTTCAATGTTGATAACATGAAATCGATGTATATAATGATGTTAATAAATATTGAGCTGACATACAATCATGCTCGGGGGTTTTGTGTTATGATCTGTAATATTTACAGTTCATCCTATTTTCAAAATTAATATTTATCTAACTAATTGCCCAAACGAAGACTTTTCTATAATCAGTATCCATGGGAAATAATGTTTTTTTTAAATGAATGTTATCATCTTCAATCAGAGGACGGATGCAACCCGGACACCCCTACTCCCGTGGATGAAAATGCATCATTTTACGCAATGATGAGCGCCAACTGCGGCAGACATCGGCTGCTCTTTAGCTCTGAGGTGCAAGCAGAAAGGAAGGATGAGATCACACCCCCTCAACGGAACTACCTGAACATACGCACGATCCCGAAAGGCCCGAAAAACATATATCCGTATGATCATTCTTTCTCTCTCTCTCTGTCTTTGTCTCTCTCTAATTTTAAAACTCAACGAATAAACAACCTATCCTAAAGTATAGATAATAAAATTGAGTTCATAAAGCCACTATAAGTAGGGCAGGTCCAGGACCGCCCCCCCCCAGCTTCATTAATACATGCTTATATGGCGCATATACATACACATACTCCATTTACTTTTCACTCTCCAGGATGAAGGCCTTAAGATGGTGGGCCGCCAACGCCCTTTCCGACATTCCGGAGATAGTCTGTGGATTGCGAGATGACAAACGCAGAATCGTCCAAACATTTCAGTACATCAAAACCAATACACTACCGACAGAATATGCTAAGGTGAGAGGGCCTTCGGTCCTGGAAAGCGCTATATAAGAACTAGCTATTGTTATTATTATTATTATTATAAACAAGGGCGTCACTATGGTGCCGGGTATGAATTCCAGATTTTAATATGCAAGAGGTAGCAATACCAGAGTTTAGCATGCTAGAGGTAAATTTCAGAGGTTAGAAAAAAAGGTGTCCTATAGGTAATTAATGTAACAGGTATAAAAGCCAGAGGTGAAAATGCCAGAGGTTAAAAGGTCAAAGGCAAGAAGAGTATTTTAAGAGTCTTGAAGTCTTGTCGGTACTTAATATGGAAATATAACCTTTTTATCCAAGTTGAACAAGATTTTGGAAATTCTGTCGGCAAAACTCAAAATATTTTAATATGTTATTACCGTTGTCGGCACCACTTGAAAAACTAAGGATGTTTATTCTGTGAGTATGGCGGGATCTTATATCAATATCTGTAAGCAATATAAAAACATGATTGAGAATCTATATGATTTGTTCTATTTGATAGAATAAGTGGCGACCAGAAGTTTGCATCGAAACAATGGAATCATTGCTTTCTCAGATCAAAGAACTGGTGCAAGAGGACGATGCAAGGTGAATATAACGACCTTTGAACAAAATTACAGTTTAAAGGTTAAAGTGAATCAGGGTCACTAGTCACGATCACTAGTTTTTTATCTAACTTGTCAATTTTTGATATAATTTACTCTGTTTCTCCTAAGGTTTCTTTGATTTTCTATGCTTTCTCCTTCTCATTTCTTTTAACTGAATCTGTTTTATTTCCATTGAAATCCCTTGGGTAATGTTCCTCTGATTTTAACCCACATTACTCATTACATCCTGTTTCACATCTCCTTCCTTTTCGTTTCTCAATTTCGGAATTACGAACCCTACTTTATTTTCGGAATTACGAACCTTCAGAATTATGAATCTTCAGAAACAAGCATATAACCTCTTAACTCCCATCATCATAAACTCTCTCTCTAACCTTAGTGCCGTCTATCATCTCGTACTTGAGCCAGTTGAAGGAGGCCGGGAATTGGAACAACGTCTATCAAGCCGTCGCTTCGTCTCTCTAGGCAAACGAGCAGACGATTTCACTTTTCTTGATGAATCACTTCTTCACGACATATTTGATTCGGAGTGAATATTATTAGTAAAAACTCCATCCCGGCACGGACGTTCTTTAACAAGACATTTATCCCCATTTACCACTCTCTACCCAGGTGTAAATGGGCAACTAGCAACTGCTGCAGTAATAATAATTGCATTACAAAATGATACATGAACAATCAAATGAAGTAGAGGGATAACAAAAGTATAAATATTTAGCTAGGTCATCCCCTTAAACGATATTAAAGGAAATAGGTACACAAGGTAAATAAATGATATAATTGAAATTGAAATTTAGTTAAATACGACGTGACTAATACTTAAACACATAAAATTCTACCCATAATCACACACGCACACACACGCACACACGCACAAATACACACGCGCACGCACACACACACAAACAAAATGCCTGACTATTTTCTTTACTTTCGTTTATTGTTCAATAGAAGTGATTTATAATCTATTTTGAAAGATGTTCAGAGTAGGGCTTTCTTTTATGAGGTAAATGATATGTTTTTAGATAGTTTTATATTATAATTATGAAAATTGAAATTGAAATAAAATTATTTAGAAATTTGAATTGGAAAAGGGTTCTTGAAGTAAAGAAACATAAAAAAGCAACATTATAAAGGTTTCAATAACAAATATGTAGAATTTGTGATTGAGAAAAGAGTAGCTTTGAGTGGGCAAGTTAAAGGGACACGTAATGATGCGAAAAGTTTGTTTCTGTAATAAATATCTGTATGTGTATAAATTGGTAGAATTGCATCAGGCTATATTTTAGATATGAAAGTATACTTAAATTGTATATAGTTTTCTAGATTAATTGTGGGAAGAAACGTATTCTATTTTAAATGTCTACCACTTTAGAAAAACTAACCATTTGTTTACTATCTCTAATTCACAATTAAATCAATCATTGAGTACCTGGGGGTCTTTGTCTGACATTTAATACTGGTGTCCCCTGCAAACTAAATTTAAAAAAAATACATAATTAGACACAGTATAAATGTCGTTCATAACAGTTAGAAATAAAACAGGACCTAAAATAGAACCCTTGGGCACTCTGCATTTAAAGGTTTTTTTTAACAAAGATTCAACATTATTTACAAAAACAAATTGTTTACGACCAAATCAATTACTTTGATCACCAGTCTAACAGAACACCTCTTATACCATAATTACTAAGTTTATTCAGGGAGTTCAATTCCAACCCCCTGGTTTATTTAACAAAATGATCAAGAGTATCAAAGGCTTTGGATAAATCAAAAAATATACCCATCATAATTCTTTTTTGCTGAAAACAATTACTCACCTTTCGATTGAATTCAATTAAAGCTGAAGATATGGAGTGCCCTGTGCTAAACCCATTCTGATGTTCAGAAATGATGTTTACATTTTCCTAAAATCATTTAGCATATAGTAAAACCATTTCTCAAGTATCTTTGAAAAGACAGTTGGAATGTATTTTGGCCTGTAAGTATTATTCACATCATTTTTAACTCCACCTTTAAGAACAGCAATTACTTTTAATATTTTCATTTGATCAGAAAATATGCTTGTTAGAACAAAGATATGTATATTATAAAAAACGGGACTTCACGGAATTATTTGTTAATTTACAAACTATTTTTTATATCTTTTACAACAATATACAGGTGAAAAAATGCAGTTTTCTTATTTTCTTAAAATTTCTTGTAATCATCAGAATATTTCACATGTCCCCTTAAATTGTAGCCGATGTTTACAAAATAATGATACAAATTCCCAAGATGTACTTTATTTTGAATCAACTTGTTTTCAAGTGATATTTTAGTAATGCTCTTTTTACTACCTTTCTTTCTTGCACCTACTATTTTGTGTTATATATTCCTTGTTTTGCTTACGTCACTCATTGCGTTATGAAATTTTGCTTTAAAAATATATGCTTAAAGCTTTTTTTCATTCATTATTAACCTTGTTTTGGTTCGGAGTTCCTGCGTAATCTTTTTCAGAAGGATCGCCCAATGGAAGAAAAGAAAAAAGAAAAATACAATAACAAGTGTAAAAGGTGATGCAAATTTTTGGGAAATTTTGATAATTGGATTTTAGTAATTCTTTAAAATTTTGATATATTTCGATGCCCTGCTTAAATGAGTGAATCGTTTTTAGATGTAAAGTAATCATGATTAAAAATGGACAAATGCTTTATAGCCATCTTCATTTATTGATATTGATTTTCAGCTTGCATCGGTTTTGTTTAAGCATATAAGAATCAGTTAGATATTAAAGGCATTCAGGAAAAGTCAATCTTATTTATTTTATTTCCATTTTAAGCATATACATGATACATTTCGACATAAAATATCGCGATAAATTTGTCGAGCAAAGAAATAAGGAAATTGTTATAGAATATGAGTAACAGATCATTTAAATAACACAAACGTCTGTTGTAACAGGTAAATATTAAAATTTTGAGTGTAGAATATGAATGAATTTCAAATACCTTCATAAATTCCACTTCGAATATTGATAGCATAAATTTAACAAGGCAGACCAAAACAAATACGTTTGACTAAAGTATTGAATTAAATTTGATTTATTGATTCATCGGTCATACAGATCATGTCACAGCAGAATTATGCATAACAAAGTATAAAATAAAAAATATACATTACGGGATCACAAAAAAAAAAATATATGTATAAAAGAGATTGTTAGGAAATTAGGACATCAATGAGTGTCAGAAAAATGATACAGGGAAAGAAAATTATGTCCTTGAATTATTTTTTTTCTTCAAACATAATATACAATCATACGTTTTTCACAAACATTATGTCATGATGCTTTATATACAATAATTGTTGAAAACATAACTATCATATCATTTATTTCATCATTTACAAAATTACGTAACATGGACCTTGATTTCTGGTAAAAGTAAATACATTAATTTAAACATAGATGAAAGTATGGTCATGTTTCAATTTTAACAATATGAACTAATTTTCTGTGAAATTCTACAATGTACCAAATACGTGCCTCGCCCTCCTTAAAAAAATCCTCCACTTTCGCTAGGAAAGTCTCTTCACATTAAGTCATTCAATCCTCACTCTAACCCTTCCAACCTTTGACGCACTAGCCCCCCCCCCCCCATCCCCATTACCGCTCTAAAGCATACTCTAACATTATTCAAAAATTCAAAAATACGCGAATCCTACCGATCCATGATCCCTAATGTTTTAACCTTAAATACTGCAATGTTCATGTTTCATCTGTCTTATAAACGTCTTCCTAAAATTTATGACGATTATTTTACTTTGAATTGTTCCATTCATAATTACAATACTAGAAATGATAAAAATATCCATCTCCCTTTAAACCGCATATCAACAACTCAGAATTCAATTTTTTACAATGTACCAATTATTTGGAATAACTTCCCAACTAATCTCAAAAATAGTAAGACCGTGAAACAGTTCAAACGATTAGTTAAACAACACCTCCTTAACTCATAAATGATAATATTTTGTTGATGTTTCCTATCTTTTCTTCCTTATCAATTTTTTGAGATTTCAATTTTGATGTTTTCGTTATGTTTTTGTCATGTTTTTCTTGTTATAATTGTTGATATGCTCTTACAATATATAATATGTTATGTATATACTTGTTAAGGGGTCATTTTTAATAAGCCAATTTAGTGCTTTTCATGATACCGCCACTATTATTCATATGTATATGTTATTGATTTGTAAATTGTTTTTAAAGTGGAAATAAATTGAATTGAATCGAATTGATTATATGTTAATCATGTAGATTAAACAAATAATCATCGAACATAAGAAAAGAAGCAGGAAAATCGTGAAGTAAAATTGTGCAGATTTTTATTCACAAAATGCTTGATTTGGCCAAAAAATCATGCAAACAGCTATTAAAACACATGGCTACTATTTTTTATTAGCTACATCACTCTAGACCACATTTTAACATGAACTAACGCATTATACACATTATTATGAATTTAAGGGGAAATAAAATTTGTCAACGATCCGATAAAAAAGAAGGAACATAATTTATCGAATTAATCTAGCCTCAATGCGAGAGTCTTTCCCTTTTGTTTTGCAGTTTATGAGAAAATACTAATTAGATATTCCAAGAAAACTTGTCATCAGACCTTTTCCTAAATACATATTTTGGCACATCACAACCCCTCTATGAAATAGATTTCTTCATCAATAACCACAATGAACGCCCCAGTTTTGGTTTTAGTAAAAAGTAAAGGGTATAAATACTCGAAAGACAAGTCACAAAGTTGCCTATCTGCGTTCTATTATTTTTTTTTTTTAAGTCGTGAAGTTCTTAGTCCGTTTCAGATTCTCATCAAACTTTCACTAATATGCATATCTTTTATCCCT